AAAAAAATNAAAAAAAAAATAATTTTTCCACGCGTTTCATAAATTTGAAATCTCGTCACCGTGTATAACATCATACACGAGGTACAAAGAATCGATAAAAATATCGCGTTCGATCAATTTAAAGTCGACGATGGAAAGTCGGCCGGATAGCGGTCCACGTAGCGAAAAAATTCATTGGCTTTTGTTCCAGAAGCGACACTCAATAACGTGAAACGTTGCAATCAGGATCGAGGCGGGTGCGAGCACGTGTGTGAAGATACTCAAACAGGCGTGAACTGCTCGTGTTTCGATGGATTCCGCGTCAAAGGATCTTCCTGCATAGGTGATTTATGTTTCATTTGTTATAATTGAGACTATTGTTCTATGATATTACTAGACGAAGGAGAAAGAATCATCGGTTTTATCAGTTTTATCGATGGATATTACATTTGTATGATGCAATCATCGATGACGGATATTTCGATGAATCGATCATTCGTTTCTTCACGAAAGAATAAAAAGATGTAAACTTTTTAGGAAATTTATTTATTTTTTCTTTTTTTTTTTGAATTTCCTTCAGGAATATAGTTTTAAAAATATTTACAATTGTATAACAATACATCTTCTGTAAATTGAAAACTTTAGATTTAAAATTTTCGTAAATTTTCTACAAGAATATTTTTAATATGTTATCAAAACAATTTGTTATTTAAATTATTTATTGATTAATTTTGTTTAAAAATCCATTCTTTTTCGTTATCCTATCAATAGAAATAATCACTTTCCTCGAGATTAAAAGTTGAAAAAAATTCGTGAGAACAAAATCATTTTACGCGTTTCAAGGGATTTATTTAAGAAAAACGAGATCTCACGATTTACGATATCCCCGTTCAAAGATCGTATCATTTTTTTTCGGCACGTCGAATTACATGGCCCTCTAACTTTAAATCCCGTTTGGATTTCGACGAAATCGTATGGAAGAGGCATAGGTATAGCCGTGTATAGCGTCGATTCTAAGGATAAAAAATTCTAAGCCTCTTTATCTGTTCCAACGACAACCATAGATTATACTATATTTCAATATTGGATCGAACCCAAGGATTTGTCAGCATTAAGGATTGAATAATATTTAATCCTTGGAAACAAGGGATTTATTTATATAACAATTTTCCCCCGATTATTCATTAAAATTGTGTAGATTTGTCTTTTCATTTATTTTTACGAGATTTTTCTTGTTTACGTAGACTATTGGAAAACGAAGAATAAAGAAAAAAATGTCGATAAGGATTTATTGGAAAGAGAATTTATAATCTTGTGAGAAATAATATTTAAAAAAGAAGTGTATAATATGTATTTATAAAGAAAATATTATAATCAGGCTGTATAATATGATATGATAAATATAATATTTTAACGAATTGAAGGTAGCAAGGATTGATTCGCCGGAAAAAAACAAAAATAGGATAAAGAAAATTGTATTTTCGAATTTAAAATAACTTTTAAAGTAAATTAGAATACTACGATATACCATTACAAGTTGTTCTTATTCAGAAATAGATATATATCCATCGCAAAATTTACTTTAAAACCCGATTCAAGCCTATTAAAATTACGAAAACTTCGAACCGCTATAACTCCGAAGATAATCATTTTTAATCGATGAATGAAAGCTCGTTAGAAGCGCTGGACCTTGCCCTTTAAAACGCTTTTTTGCTCATCCCGATACGACTTCCGGTTCCCGAGATATCGTCGTGTAAAGGAAAGGGTAATTTTTTAACTGTTTACTATCTCCGTTCTTGTCGCTTACTCGGACCTCTCGCTCGCGCCTCGTCTCACTGACCTATTCCAACTCCAGACGAGTGGCAGACGCGATTCCTGGAAAAACGTAGTACGCGTAGAAAAAAAAATCTAGGTCACTGGGCCGCGAGCCCATTCATAATCTCTGTCATAACTGTGAAAACTTTGAATTCTTATATCTCGACAACGGATCGAGATATCGGGATAAAACAAAAAACGACTTCAACGGTATATTTTTCTCTATTCTCTGAACAGGTTTGGTGATAAAATTTTTAAGTTTTTCTGACCTTTTTTTTACATCAAAAAAAGAAAAAAAAAGGTAAAATATATAATTTGCAATGGTCATTAAATTAAAGCGATACTATAGAATGAAAGAAAAATATGAAATGTATAATTTTATATGAAGAATTCCATCATCGAGGATTCAACTTTTCGATGTATATATATATATATTTTTTTTAAAATCGTGAAAATTGCAATACCAAATGCAACGCAAAAGAAATTATTAAAAATTATCCAACAATCAAAATTTCGTCAGAATCGGTTTAAAATCTCGAACATAGCAATTCTATCCATCCATCATCCTGATCATCGTCGAAGAACAATCGGCGGAACATCGATCGACGACTAATCGCGAATCGTTCCATTTCACCAATGGTCGAAGCATAAATCACCGGCCACTTTCGCGTCGATTACTCAACTTAACAGGCGGCGGTGTGCGATTCGCGGTGGAGGAACACGGGCGTCTATGTAGTCCCCTATTGTATGCTAATCGACGTCGGCATCTCAGTGTGAAAACGAGTGCACGAGCACTCGAGGTGGAATCGAACCCCGTGTTTCAAGCGCAACTGCCTTTAGATGTTCACGTGTTGGAATCCGTGTTTCAACGCTAATCTGTAAGTCACATTGTCGTGCATGTATATATATATATAGAAAGAGATGTTCCGTTTCGCTGACCGAGATTTTATTCTATCGTTTCTATCGAGATTTCCTTTTCTTTTCTACAATAATTTCGAATTTAATAGTATCAGTAAAGTTGTGGATTTGTATTTTATGATTTTATGATTATTTAGGATGGGATGGTTAATTTTAATATACGCTATTTAATATCACAGGTCTGAAAGTTATCGTGTTATTTTCCAATTAATTTTCCAAAATTCGACGGATTTATCATTCTTTTATTTTTGGAAAAAAAAAGCGAAATATTTCAAAAGTTGTATATTTCGAGTAAAATATAAATTGCAAATATTTTTTGAAACGAAAAAGCGCAAAGAGCATTCTTGATAAAAATATAAATTTCAGACAAAGATGGGAATATATTGCGACAATTCGACGTATCGTAGTAAATATTAATTGTTTTGGTAACGAGTTTTTTTTGTTGACTTTTCGCAGACATAGACGAATGTGCCGAAAGTACAGCTGGTTGCGCTCAAATTTGTCACAACGATCCTGGCTCCTTCCATTGCGAATGTCATTCTGGTTATCAATTGGGGACCGATAGTAAATCGTGTCTGGGTGAGTTAATTGAGTTGAAATTAATTTTGTTCTCAATTGCTTTAATATATAAATTTCTTATAATTAATATAACTAACGAAGCTGTATTATTATAACCCGTATTGGCAGCCTTTACGGAAAATAACTTTTTAATCTTGAAAAATATATCTAGAATATGTATCTTAAACTATTCATATTTCTTAGCTTCAAATCTATTATAATTTGGCCAATTGAATCAAACTGGAATATTTAATTGCTGTTTTAATTTTTACTAAATGAACAAATTATTTCATTTAGAAGATTGTTAGTTACTTTTTTCTATGGATTATAAAAATATAAAGATACACAGTTTATAGTAGAATATATCGAATTTAATCAATAACAAAATAATTTCTTTTCTTCTTTATGATTAATTTTTGTTGATTGATGTGTTATTTTAATTTTTTATACACGTGTTGTGAAAATCATTCCTGACAAAAATTAAAAAAATAAACAATTTTCAATGGTTTTTCCATTAACTTTTTTAAAATATTTTACAATCACCCCTTCGAAGATATTCTACTTGAAAAGCAGAAATCTCGCGTAACCAGTTTACGATTGATCGATAACGCATTTTCGGTTTGTAGACGCAATCATTCGTGATTTTTATTTCGTTCTCGATCCTCGCGAAAGATTTCTACCCCAAGACACGAAAGTAAATCAGTCAGCATTTACGATCAGATTAAATCAGTCGAATTCCTTTCTCTTTTTCGTTTTATTTTATTTCTTCTTTCGAATTGAAAGTTGGAGAATCACACGTTGGAAAAATCGTATGTTATACTACTTGCGATTTATTCGAAATGTTTGTATGATTCTTTCGAAATATCATTTCGAAATTGATGATAAGAAACCTTTATGATCTGAGATTGTTGGTCTATAAGCAAGAGGAGAATTGAGCGTGTAAAATAGCGTATGTATATGCGAGTTAAGTAGTACAAATTGAAATTAATGAAACATGGGCCGAACGATAAAATAAATTCTACTTAGAAAAAAAAAAAAAAAAATAATTTATCTTTCTTTGAGGGAATATTATTTTGGCGCAGTGGAAAATTGATTCGATTTGTGTGTGATAAACGTGGATGTAAATAACACACCGTTAAATAGTACATAATTACTTAATTAAAGTGGAATTATAATTATATCATCCGAAAAGATAGAGTTCGTAGAAATAAATGAAACGAGAATCCTAATTATTTAAACGATACTTATTTTAAATTAATATTTTAATTAAAACATTATTATTTGGAAGCAAGTTATTATATTATTCCCGTCCGAATAAGATGAAAAATAAGACGAATAATTAAACGATCTTACTGTTTGCAATTTAAAAATACACGGAACAAATATTGAACCGACGATGAAATCGTTAAAAATTACGATTAACAAAATTTATACGCTACCAAAAATTATTATAATCAAACGAATCATCGTAAGAAAAAAAAAAAAAAAGAAGAGAGATCGAAATTAAAACGAAAATAAAAACAGAGAAAAAAGGAGGAATATCCGTTTCAATTTATCCGTCTATTAAACGAATGCAGCGTTTAACGAGGGAAACGCTCGCAAGATTCTCGCGCAAAGAATTTAACATGGCCTCAACCCCTCGGTGACGGATTAATTCAATCTCTAGCCCCCCCCCACCCCGCAGGAATACCCGCGAAATTTGTCTTTCCGCTGGAAATTGGCTAACTAAGGCGAAGGAAGCGGGGCGTTGCTTTTCGCGGTTCGCCCACCAACCAAGAATTACAAACAACCCCTCGTTTATCGAATTACGCGTTGCGGTTCGTTCATTTGGACGCCGTTTTACCCGCCGTGTGTTAACACAAACTGATTAACCCTCGAGCCGTGAATAAAGGAGAAAAAGAGGAAGAGAAATATTCAAACCGGTCGAGTGTACACTCGGGAAAATTTAAATCTGATACGAGCGAATTTCCTCGGGAAAGCTTTGGAAAGCAAAATTTTGAGACGGATAATCCTGCGCGATTCAACTTCCCCGACGGGGTGGATTAAATCAACGAGATTGAACAAATTTTCAGGCAAGTTTTAACGGTCCTTAAACTGGTTGTCGTGTTTTCAGTAATTACAAGTTTGGGCTTGGATATTTTTTTAAAGATTTCTTTTAATTACGAGCAACACGATTGGATCGGAAGAATTTTTAATCCACGTTAATGGAAAATTTGTTTCATTTAATCGTTCCTTGTTCAAAAAAAATAAAAAATAAAAAATAAAAATTCTCAATTTTGTTCGTACAATTTGTAATTATGATCAATAAGATTGGAATAATTTTTACGAACGAATTTTAATCCAATTCGTTTGGAAACTAATTATATCGTAGTAATTGTAGAAATTATGTATTTAAACGGAATATTAACATCAACACGATTGGATTAATTTTTTTTAATTAACGTCCATTGATATTCTATGTCTTTAGTGGAATAATTGAGCAATTAGGGTATATTCTTGTTGCGCCTATTAGTTGTTCCAATAGATACGATAATAAAATTAGAATAGAGTGTGAATTTCGGTTGTTGAAGCACGAAATTACCGGAATGCAGCGTATTGCGCAAAATCAGATGGGCGTTTATTGACTTTACCAGATAGTTCGATTGGAATCGAATCGAATCGATGCTTGGATAATTGAAAGGACTATTAACACGTACCCACAAACAATCAAGAATCTATTATAGCTGTGTATCATTGTCGCGATTCCTTCTTCTTTTTTCTCTTTCTTCAAAGATTTGTTTGCATTTGAAATTAACCTATACCTATAACGACAACAAACAGTCTTGTTTATCAGGATTTGTTTACGTTTAATATTACTAATATTACGGTTAATTATGTAAATTATATATTTAAATAGATTTCTCGTCATTTTGTTCACGAGTTTCTTTCTTCTCCACCTTCCTTTACTTTTCACGTTGCTCTCCTATTATTCCCTTATAAGCATATAAAATTTCTTAATCAAAATTTTCATTTCCTCGTGATTTTCAAAATTATACTTTTATCGATAATCTCTTCTCCTAATCATTTTCACTCAATATACAAAAGCTTCTTCCTTGATCAATATCAATATAATCCATGCCCATATTCAATCGATTCATATTCTTGTAATTCGTTAACCTTCAGCCCAAAGTTTCAAGTTGATATTAAAATTAACTACTTAACCAAAACCCGAATATTTCGTTCCTTCGAAATTCCAAGTCCAAACGAGCGCGAAACGAGTAATCGTCAATCGATGTCTCGAGCTCCGGATGTTGCGCGACGATACAATCGGTCCTCGATACCGTCTCGAGAGGAGGAACGGCGACCGTGGTAGACTGTCGTAGCCCGTTCTCTCCGTTAAATTTTCGAAAGCAATTCACAAGATTGCTTGGTTGTTCCCCGTCCAGACGTTAACGAGTGCCTGGTGAATAACGGGCACGGGCCGTGCCAAGGCACTTGCATCAATCTCGAAGGGAGCTACGAGTGCAACTGTTCCGATATTCCTGGCCACAAATTGGCCGCGGATAATCACACCTGCGAGGATATCGACGAGTGCTCGACCAACAACGGGGGATGTTCCCATGTTTGTTTGAACACGCCTGGAAGCGCTTTTTGCCTCTGCCCAGACGGCTTTTACCTGACCAACGACTGGAAAACGTGCCAAGGTAACGTGTTTCGCCTTTCCACAACGTCTCTGATCTTTGTTCGTTGAGGGTATTTTAGATTATCGTATACAACGAATATGTATCCTATGTTTGGATAGTTGAATCGTTCGTGGATAAAGGCATATTTGAAATCATATCGTTTAATTTTTACCGTTCTTGCGTGTTGTATTCTCTTACGTATATATTTTGATTCTAACTAAATAGATAGATAGTTATTGATCCATGACGGTGTGAATTTATTTTATCGATAGATGTGAACGAATGCGAGAATGCATCCAAGGTTTGCACGAATAATACCGATTGCGAGAACACTGTCGGCTCGTTTAAATGCGTGAGCAAGCCACAAAAGATGACCAAAGTTCTCCAGGACGAGGATTACGACGCGGAGGACGACGAGGACGAGGACGATTACGACGAGGAAGAGGGTATCACGGAAATTCCGGAATTTGGGAAATGCGAGGACGGCTTCAGAAAGAACAAAAACGGCGAATGCATTGGTTCGTGAAACATTTTTCCTTCCCCCGATGAAAACGAAACGAATTTTTAATTTTTCGTGGGATTTATGCAAAAAGAATTCGCGATATCAAAAGTATCGTAATTAAGAAGAAACGAGTCGTTAACTTTATATTTAAATTCGAGGGACGGAAATCACGAAGATGAAAAAATGTACCCAAACTTGCTTTATAGTTTAGATACGTTCCGGAAAAGTTGACCGTATAACGAATCATTTTTTTTTCTATCATTATTTTTATACAAATCCAATTGAATCTGTCCCAATTTTTTATAAAATAATATAGTTTTTAGTTCGTAAAAGCATTTTTTTTTGCCCATATAACGATTTTCAATCGAAAAATACGCGCTATAATTGAAACGCACGTATATTCTTTCGTGCATTAATCTCTTGCAAAGTTGCAAAGTCGTTGCACGATCTCGACAACAACCCTTTACCTCTCCAATACATTTTCAACATCGTTCTCCAGACATCGACGAATGCTTGGACGAAGGAGAGTTTCCCGGCTGCCAACACGAGTGCGCGAACGAGCCGGGTGGTTACTACTGCACCTGTCATTTGGGTTTCAAGCTCCAAGAAGACGGCGTATCGTGCCGCGATATCGACGAGTGCGAGGAGGGGGCGAATCCGTGCTCCCACGGTTGCAACAACACCGAGGGCTCCTTCGCGTGCACCTGTCCAACGGGATTCTCTCTAAAGGAGGACAATCTCACGTGCGCGAGAACCTGCGAAACTCTGGCGACGCCCTGTTCCCACGAGTGCCGAGAATCGGAGAACGGGCCGATATGCGTCTGCCCGCGCGGTTATCGCATCCACGAGGACGAGGTGAGCTGCGTGGACACGGACGAGTGCGCCCTGAACCTGTGCTCTCACTCCTGCGTGAATTTGGAGGGTAGCTTCGCGTGCACCTGCCCGGAAGGTTTGGAAACCTCGGAGCACGACAAGTTCAATTGCACGGACGTGGACGAGTGCGCCAGGAACGTTCACGATTGCGAGCACGAGTGCGTGAACGTTCACGGGAGTTACGCCTGCGGCTGCCCACCCGGATTCGCGTTGAACCACGACAACAGGACTTGTTCCGACGTGGACGAGTGCACGGAGGATACGCACAAGTGCGACCAGATCTGCGTGAATTCCGTTGGAAGTTACAACTGCTCTTGCCGGGATGGTTACCAGCTCGAGAGAGACAGTATTTTCAATTGCGTGGATGTAGACGAGTGCGATGACCAGGAGCACGGTTGCTCCCACGAGTGTTTGAACGAGGAAGGGGGGTTCAAATGCGGTTGCCCGTCGGGTTATCTGTTGGGGAACGACTCGAAGATCTGTCGAGATGCGAACGAATGCCTGGAAGGTACTCACCAATGCTCCCACGAGTGCGTGAACGTTCAAGGATCGTACGTGTGCGCCTGTCCATCAGGTATGATCGTGTCGGAGGACAAAAGGCTCTGCGTCCCCCTCGACCCGTGCAACTTTGCCAATTGTTCCCACACCTGTGAGAAGCATCGGGACGCTTTCAAATGCGGCTGCCCCGAGGGTCTCGTCCTCCAAGAGGACGAGAAAACCTGCCAGGATCTCGACGAGTGCCTCGAGGACGAGCACGATTGCTCCCACGACTGCGTCAACACGTTGGGAAGTTACGAGTGCGTCTGCCCCGACGGTTTGACGCTTCTGCAGGACGGCCTCACGTGCGAGGATCCATCCTGTCCCGAAGGATTGCGCCAGGACGACGAAGGCAGGTGTCGGGACATCGACGAGTGCCTGGAACGAAGTCACGAGTGTTCCCACATCTGCATCAACGAGCATGGCGCCTATCGTTGCTCCTGCCTCTCTGGATGGATCTTGTCCGACGACGGTGTCACCTGCGTCGTCTCAGACCCCTGCTCCAACTCGTCCTGCTCCCACATCTGCCTGCCGTACGCCTCGAGTCGCGTGTGCGATTGCCCATCGGGATACAAGTTGGCCGCCGACGGCGCGACCTGCGAGGACGTCGACGAGTGTCGAGACGAGTCGGCCAATTGCAGTTTCTCGTGCAGGAACACGGAGGGATCGTACACCTGCGAGTGCTCGCGAGGATTCAGCCTCGGCGAGGATGGCCGAAGTTGCGTCGACGTCGACGAATGCGCGCAAGGAAATCACGCTTGCTCCCACGCGTGCACGAACACCGTCGGCGGTTACAATTGCACCTGCCCAACGGGATGGAGGCTGAAAGAGGACTTGCGAAACTGCGGCCCTTCGACCGTCCACCGAAATTGCTCGCACACGTACGAGCAAGACGGCGAGGAGATCCGTTGCGGTTGTCCCGAGGGCTTCGAGCTCGAGGACGACGAGAGCACTTGCGGCGACGTCGACGAGTGCGCCGAGGATCCCCATCCTTGCTCTCACCGTTGCGTGAACACCAAAGGATCCTACCATTGCGAGTGCCCTCCCGGTCTACGACTGAGACAGGATCGAGCAACCTGTCGGGACATCGACGAGTGCGTCCAAGGGGGTTGCTCCCACGATTGCGTCAACACCGAAGGCAGCTTCCACTGCACCTGTCCGCCAGGCTACGAGTTGATCGAGGACGGGAAGACGTGCGGGGACGTGGACGAGTGCGCGAGAAAAGATCTTCATGGCTGCTCCCACCGGTGCGAAAATTTGAACGGTGGATACGTTTGTTCCTGTCCGGAGAACTTGATTCTCGGGCAGGACAATAGGACCTGCACAGTGGCTAGGTGCGAGCACGGGCACAATTGCAGCCACACGTGCGTGACGAACGAGGGTGGCTACGAGTGCGAGTGTCCAGCAGGATGGGAGTTGAGCTCGGACGGTCGGACGTGCGAGAAAATTGATTTTTGCGCGGGTGAACACGGCTGCTCCCACGAGTGTGTGACCGTGGTGGGTGGCGGGTTTCAGTGCCGGTGCCCGGCCGGCTACGTTCTGTCCAAGGATGATGAGAGGAACTGCTTGGACAGGGACGAGTGCGAGGAGGCGGGCAACGAGGTGAACAACGGCTGCTCCCATTCCTGCGTCAACACGGATGGAAGCTACGAGTGTGGGTGCCCGAACGGGTATCGACTGGCCGACGATCGAAGGACCTGCGAGGACGTGAACGAGTGCATCGAGGACAACGGCGGATGCTCCCATCTGTGCGCCAACATCGAGGGCGGCGTCGAGTGCGCTTGCCCGGATAATTACAAATTGCTGGAGGATGACGGGAAGACGTGCGTGGAGATAGACGAATGCCTGATCGACAACGGCGGTTGCACCCACTTGTGCCATTACGAGAACGGCACCGTCTCCTGTTTCTGCCCGCCAGGGATGATTCTGGACGAAGACAACGCCACTTGCACGGAGGAGAACAAGTGTTACGCGGATAACGGAGGTTGCTCCCATTATTGCAGCTACGAGGACGGCCGAGTCTCTTGCTCCTGTCCAACGGATCTCGTATTGTCGGAGAACGGGACCGTTTGCGTGGAGCGAAATAGATGTTTGGCGGGGAACGGTGGTTGTTCCCACGACTGCCGCCACGAGGACGGAGAGACGTTCTGCCTGTGCCCGGACGACATGATCCTCGGGAACGACAAGCTTCTGTGCATCTATGCGAACAAATGTTTCGTCAACAACGGAGGCTGTTCCGATATCTGCGCCTTTTTCAACGGGTCGGTCACCTGCGAGTGTCCGTCGGGGTTCAAATTGTCGAGGGACGATAACGCTACTTGCGTCGATGTCGACGAGTGTTTCGAATTGTTGGACAATTGCACGCACCGGTGCACGAATACGGAGGGCGGGTTCGAGTGCAGCTGCAACGAAGGATTCAAAGCGAACCCCGTTGAACCCGCTTTCTGCGACGACGTGGACGAATGCGAGGATTCGAACGCCGGGTGCTCCCATACCTGTGCGAACTTGGTAGGATCGTTTCACTGTACCTGTCCCTCCGGATACGTGTTGGAGAATGACAATAAAACTTGCAGGTTGATCGACGGTTGCAAGCAGAACAACGGAAACTGTTCTCATCATTGTCATCGCGAGGAAGGTAGCGAGGGGGTACACTGCTCCTGCCCTCTGGGATTCAGATTGAAACAGGATCAGAGAACTTGCGAGGATATCGACGAGTGCGAGGAATTCGAGAATGACGTGGATCTGGGCTGTTCGCACATCTGCGTGAACACGGAGGGAGGATACTATTGCGAGTGCCCCTCCGGCTACATCTTGTTGCCGGAGAACAAGAAGAATTGTATCGACATGAACGAGTGTCTGAACGATCGGCACAACTGCAGCCACGACTGCTTGAATCTCTTGGGAAGCTACGTGTGCACCTGTTACGAAGGCCACTACCTCCATTCCGATAAATCCACTTGTCTAGACATAGACGAGTGTTTGGAGAGAAATGGCGGCTGCTCTCATCAATGCACCAACACGATAGGCGGCCATTTTTGCTCCTGCCCAACCGGGTACGAGCTCTCGCGGGACGAGAAAACTTGTATCGACGTCGACGAGTGTAAAACGGAACTGGCCGATTGTCTCCACGAATGCGTAAACACATTGGGCTCGTGGAGATGCATCTGCCCGGACGGCCACGCGCTCGCCAACGATTCCAAAACTTGCGTGGACATAGACGAGTGCGAGGTGAACAATGGCGGCTGCTCCCACGCGTGTTTCAACATCGTAGGTGGCGTTAGGTGTAATTGCCCTATAGGATTGCGCCTGGACGAGAATGGTAGAACGTGCAACGACGTGGACGAGTGTTCAACGGATAATGGCGGTTGCTCGGACGTCTGTGTCAATTTGGAAGGTAGTTTCTCCTGCCAGTGTGGGAACGGTCTCCACCTGCACACCGACGCCAAGACCTGCCTGGACGTTAACGAGTGCGAGATGGAGAACGGAGGATGCTCCGACAATTGTATCAACGAGCGTGGCGGTTATCGTTGCGAGTGCCCTGCCGGTTTCCAACTTAAGGACGACAAAAGGACCTGCTCCGATGTGAACGAGTGCGACGACGACAACGGCGGCTGCTCTCACGAATGCGTGAACGAACTTGGCACTTATCGATGCGGTTGCCCGCTCGGTCACGAGTTGAGGAACAAATCGTGCCACCCTGTAGATCCTTGCGCCAACAACAACGGCGGCTGCGAGCAGATTTGCGCCGCGACGAATGGCACGGTTGTGTGCGCCTGCAAAGAAGGCTTCCGACTCGACGAGAACGATCCCCCGAGGTGCAGAGATATCGACGAGTGCGCTGGCCAACATGGCTGCGATCAGTTGTGCGTGAACACTGTTGGATCGTTCGAGTGCTCGTGTAAGGAGGGATTCGAGATGCGGAATTCCACATGCGTTGGTGAGTGTTGCCCCCATTTTTTGTGAACATATCTCTTTAATCCTTGTCTTGGTCTGTTTTTTGATTGATTTGAGACGTAAGAATATATCTGCAGTTTGATCTCTACGATCGTATAAATTGCATAAATTGTTGTCAAATTACGAAAATTGTGAAATTTAATAGAAAGAATTTGTACGTTTCGATATGTTTTATCGAATTATCATAAAGTTTCGAATTATTTAAATTTATTAAAATTTAATAAATCATAGTCATTATATAAATTCCAGTATAATTGCGTGTATGTTTTTAGCAAAAATGATTTTAAAAGAATTTTAAAAGATATTCTTTCAATTTCTTTCATTAGCGTGGATTATATAAAAAAAAAAAATTTACGATTTTAATTACGAATATACGAGTCATATCTACACGTTAAAATCGAAACTTTTACACTTTGCATGCTTTTCTTAAGCTCGTGTTTCTCTCTCTTCTTCGATTGAATGTATTACACGTCGTAGAAAATTAAAAATTCAGGTCAAGGAACATTATACAATACGTATTTACATTCGCTTTCTTATACATGCAGTATTATTACTGCAAAGACCGGAAACACAATAACTTGTCACGATATTTCACCTTTCATGCGTTTCGATCCTATTCGTTTTACCGTGGTTTTCATTAAACTTTAGTCTCTCTCTCTCTGCTTCCATTTTGTATATTTATTCATTATCACAACAAACTGGCCAGGAATAATTATTATATGCCGCGTATAATATTGAAATTAAAGATTCATAATCATAAATATGAATTTTCAAAATTTCTCAAAAGTTGCCATTATTAATTGAAAAAGTTAAAGGATACGCAAATAACATTCCCAATTCGTTATTTTATGAAATATTTTCATTTTAATAACCAACTGTTAAAACTCTCCTAAATTTTAATTAATTTCCTCGAGCGTTGTATATTTGAGAATTTTACGCAAAAAAAAAAAAAGACCTATAATAATATATTAAGAAACAAATCACATTAAGAAGAAAAATAAAATATAATATGATATTAAATTCGTTCGCAGAATTTTTCCAGAAATATTTTAAATATTCAAACATATTATATTTACCGCAAATTATTCCAAAAAAGAAGTGAAAAGAATAATTCATCGTTTCCAGATATCGACGAATGCGCCACAATGGATTGCAAAGGGTACGAGTGCATCAATTCTTATGGCAGCTATCGTTGCGAATGTGACATTGGCCATCGATTGGAGGGCGATCATTGCATAGGTATGCGTGAAAAGAAAAAAAAAAAAATTTCTTTAAACTTAAAATATATCGTACAGATATTATCGTGTGTAAGTTGCACGTATTTGTTCTTACGTGTAGTATAGCTGAGATTTAGGATTTCCATGTGGAGATGATTGCGACTTCGATGGGTGTTTAGAGGGAAAGCTGTCGACGTACATGCCTGACTGATGTAATTTTGGCCAGATGGAAGGGATTCGTGACGACTAATCGCTTGTTAAACTGGAATACTCCGGCTTTCATGATAGCTAAAGGATTGTTGTGCGTTTCAGAAATTCGAGGAATGTTGGAGGAATCGTTGAATGATGTTGATGAAATTTGATTAGGAAAGGCAAAATGTAATAAAACTTGGAAATATTTGTGATAACCGAAGAATTTTGTTTTGTGAAGCGTTGGAGGAATTTTCAAGTTGGATCAAAAGTTATTTTTTTTTTTTTTTTTTTTTGCGTAGTACAAAAATAATACACGTGAATATATTGAAAAAAGAGTAGTATTTATATAATAGAATTTAATATAATAGAATTAAGAATTTTTGTATCGCTCTTTGTTATTAAAATAATTGCATCCTTATAAAAAATAGTGATTATAATTGTTTCTAATTAGATATAAATGAATGCGCGTGGAACAACGGCGGATGTGAGCAAGACTGCATTAATACAATCGGTTCCTATGTATGCGCTTGTCGACCTGGCTATATACCAAGACGAAGGTGAGACGACTAATTAAATTTATCTCTCTATGCGATTCCCGAGCAAACAAAAAAATTCAATAATTGTATTCTCCGGTATTGAAATCGGAACTTGTTAAAATTCTAAAAACAAAAAGAAAAGATAAATAATTTAATTCTTCTCTTAATCTCTCCAATGTTAAATTACACTTTGATGAAAATTTAAAAATCAAATTTAATTCTAACTCGAGTTTTTCCTTTATCGATTCTTTACGATAAAAAAAAAAAAAGAGAATGATTGAAGAAATTTTGCATGGAAATTTTCTAATTGTCCCTTGTCGAAAATGATTTGACGATTTTCGTACCATCGAGATTTCTGCAGATGAATTCCGGTTTTTGTTCCCAGAAATAGAAACCAGTAAAACGTAATTTTTTTTTTTTTTTTTTTTTGCGAGACAAAAATAATACACGTGAATATATTGAAAAAAAGAGTAGTATTTATATAATAGAATTTAATATAATAGAATTAAGAATTTTTGTATCGCTCTTTGTTATTAAAATAATTGCATCCTTATAAAAAATAGTGATTATAATTGTTTCTAATTAGATATAAATGAATGCGCGTGGAACAACGGCGGATGTGAGCAAGACTGCATTAATACAATCGGTTCCTATGTATGCGCTTGTCGACCTGGCTATATACCAAGACGAAGGTGAGACGACTAATTAAATTTATCTCTCTATGCGATTCCCGAGCAAACAAAAAAATTCAATAATTGTATTCTCCGGTATTGAAATCGGAACTTGTTAAAATTCTAAAAACAAAAAAGAAAAGATAAATAATTTAATTCTTCTCTTAATCTCTCCAATGTTAAATTACACTTTGATGAAAATTTAAAAATCAAATTTAATTCTAACTCGAGTTTTTCCTTTATCGATTCTTTACGATAAAAAAAAAAAAGAGAATGATTGAAGAAATTTTGCATGGAAATTTTCTAATTGTCCCTTGTCGAAAATGATTTGACGATTTTCGTACCATCGAGATTTCTGCAGATGAATTCCGGTTTTTGTTCCCAGAAATAGAAACCAGTGCCAAGATATAAACGAGTGCTTGAACCATAACGGGGGTTGCAACGGTGGATGCGTTAACACAGCCGGAAGTTACTACTGTACGTGCAATGGCGACCTGGTGTTGGCTTCCGACGAGAGAACTTGCATTTCAGCGGAATCGAGATGCCGTGCTATGGAGCCACCCCTACATGCAGAAGTGCGTAACAATTTATTGTACGAAATATATGCGAAAATATGTCATGTGCAATGTGTTAATTTTCTTTACAAATATTCACGAATCTCGTCTGTCAACGTTGAAAATATTAAACATGAAAAAAAGGCACGAAATAGAATTTCGTAAAAGATAGATACCTAACTTTGCTATGCATAAGATTGTGAATTTTGAATAAAAAAAAAAAAAAAGATGGATGAAGCAATTTTTGTATTAAAAGAATTTGTATGCATATGTATTTTCTTGTTTTTTGAAAAATTGATATGGATAGTGTAAAAAAAAAAAAGGAAAACATTTTGCTTTTAAAGGGTTTTCAAAAATTTAAATAAAAAAATTGCAAAATACAGGAAACAAAGGAATATCCTATTTTTTTTTTTCAGGGAAATTTTTTGCTCCTAGCTGGAATATTTTCTCACAGATCAAAATGTTTTCTTTAAAATTCTAAATTTCACGTTTATTCATATCTTCGCTGAGTTAACTTTAACAGACATATTACATTAAAGAAAATTTAAACAAATCACGAAAGCAACAGAAAATAACGTATCGCAAAAAGTAAGATTTCATCACTATTCTTCAACCTCAAGCTAAATAAAAAGAAAACGCATTGATCGATATATTAAAACAATATTCTTATCATTCTATTAAATCATCAAATTCTATCATCTCATCAATAAGAGAACAAGTCTTGACCATAATACAGGAAAATAAATAAATAAATCCTGCTGATACTTTCATTTAAATGTCACAGTCACTTTAATACCTCCTCTTACACGTTACAAATTGGAACGATGTTCTTAAAAATTTCTGCTCCTGGGGACACATTGTATTTTCGACATTCCTCTCATTGTAGATCAGATGTCCAGGTCATTCTTCCGGTGCAGTGGATTATCCTGTTGGAGCCAGATGTCATATACAATGTCGAAGAGGTTTCAGGCTGGAGGGGCCGCACACGAGATACTGCATGGCCGGGGATCAATGGAATGGGAAGGAACCGACTTGCATTCAAGCATCGATCGTGACCGATTCCCGTTACCATTCAGGTGAGCTTTTTCTTCGACCTTTTAACCGGCGATAACCCGTTGGAATTGCATCGACTGGTCCCCCAACAAAAATTTGTGCCAACAGAAACTTGCGCCCGACAATAGACAGATCGGAATGGAAATGTCGCCTCTCTCTATTCCAATAATTGTTTTTCACCGGTGATATCGATCGGGGGAATTTAATTTGGGAAAATATCAGCGCAGCCGACGAATATCTCAAATCAAATTTTATTTATACGATTAACTCTAATTTTTGTCCTTTGAACGTCAAATTAAGGGATATTAAATTCGACATTATTAATGTGATTTTTATCGATGAAATGATTAGATGTAGGTGGCGGAGATTTTCTCGAGGAAATTTGAATTAAACGTGATTGACGTCTGGAATTGTGACATAAATAAATCGTAAAAGTTTCACACGGATCGATGTCGGGGGGATTTTATTTCTGGAAATTGAGATGGGAAGGGAATAGAATGGCGAGATTATTAATCAAGTTTGATATCTTTAGCATTCTTCTTTAATTATATAATTCCAAGTTTTCTATTGATAACATAAGTTTTAAAAAGAACAGATGTTGGATAAACTTCCTTTTTCATCTTACGTAAATATCATGTAAATAATATAATGATTACACACTCAGGCTCTTTTCGAGTGAATTTAATTAGATTCTTTTACGTTCCTTTTTTTTTGTTTACAGATGTCCTATAAATTTCATTGTAGTATTGTATCTTCAAAACCGACCAAACTTACAACTTGTTTTGTAAGTTAATATTAACCAACCAACTCTTATTTTTTCCACTCGTTTCACAAATCCCAATAATTTATCCAAGTAACCACAAACCTGGCACTTGGTAGCAGTTTACCAGCTCTTCTGTCGAGAACACGAAATTACAACCAGAGGATTTGTACGTCTAATTTTCTGAAACGAATGGCAAAACGGTGGTGGAAAGTTTGGAGATCCGGCTCGCAGATGGCTTTCACGAACGATCAGGAAGAAAGATCACCGTCAGCGGCAATTATTTACCAACGAAAATCCTGGCGGCGCATTTAATTAGTCACGCGGCCGCTCTAAACAGCTTTTAATAATAGGAAGTTCCGGCGTAAAGGCCGGTCGCTAACGACGCTATACGTTAACGCCACGGCTTAACGAGCTTGCAGAGAGACGCGTTTCAGTTTTTTTTACATTTCATTTCCTCCACTCCCTTGCGTTATTTTCAGTCGGTTTCGTTTTCCCTTTCTCTTGGTCGCCTATTCTTCTCTTCGCTGATTTCCATGCCGCTTTGTTCCGCGTAACACCAATGAAATTTCCCCGTCTCTATAGTTCTGCTCTATCGGTTGACTAGTTTTCTCCTCTTTTTTTCTTCTGATACCGACGGAATTTTATTGCCGGCTATCGACCGGTGTACAACCATTTGTTTGAAGAATTTCGCAACAATTAACATAGCTTTGGTTATATACTATCTTTAGAAACAAGGATTATTTTTATTTTTATTATTTTTTAATATTTCACGTGAAGTAAGCAAGATGAAACGCCGATGGCAAAAGAAATCATGGAATAACATTGGAATTTTGTGTAATTATAATTCATATTTGGAGAAATGAAAGTGTATGTGTATGTGTATCAGGAAATGTATAGCAAGGTTATAGAGCGACATGATAGCACAAGGATAGAGTTGGAAATTTCATAATCTCAATCTCGAGATAATATTCACATTATAGAAAATTCAAGTGTAATGGGATCGCCAACTTCAATACTTCAATCCATGATTCAAAATCCATAATATCTCACACACGAAACTTTCATGATACCCAAAAGCATTCAATTCGCTGGAGATCGTACGAGAGTTATGAAACTTCACTTTAGAGAGAGAGAGAGAGAGAGACGTTAGTTGAGAGTTCAAGAACCTCATTTCCATTCCGTGTATCGTAAGATGCATCCTAAATCAGGTCAAAAATATCTAGATTTCAGACTTTTCAAACTGTGAATACAAACACTTCGATTCTTAATTTTTAATAAAATCTAGAATACAACGATTTCGATCTTCTAGTTCAAGATGAAGATTTCCTTGGATTTTCTCTGAATTAATTAAGAAATTAAAGATACTTCTGATTGTAAAATTATTATTGAGACGATTTGTGTAGAATTAATTCAAAGAATTGGAAATTTTCAGACTTCAGAAAAATTCATCCCAAATTAATCTATGTACGAAGAATTTCTAAATCAGATATTCACTGACTACGAGATCAATTGAAAGTTCAGAGACATTCCTGACCCTGGAATAATGTAATCCATGAATTAGTTTGAACTCTGAGAATCTCGACTTTCTACTTCTAACTTCTCTATCTTCTAAGATAAGATCATAAAACCCATTTCTCTATCAATGCAAGGATTAGGAATCTTTAAATTTCTAATTCTATTTGCATATGATATTTATTATCAATTATTATCATAATCAATTTGTAAAAATTGAGAAAAATTTATTTTATGAATATTTTTATAATAATTTATTGAATATCTGAAACATTTTTATTAGAAAATATATAATATAGAAAGTAATAATTTTGAATGAAACAAGATATTAATAATATGGTAAATAATATAAATAAATGTACATAAAACTATTTCATTAACTTTAATATTTGTTTTGATCTGTAGAATCAAATTATACATCCTGCATACGAAAGGACTAGAAATGAAATAAATGTAGAGATTCTCAAGTCACAGATTCTGATTACGATGAATGAATTTAAAGATAATATTGATTTGTAATTTTATTATTAGAATTTGGTTAAAGGAAAAATTTTTTAAGTTAAAGTATCTGACCATTTCAATTAAATAATTACAACTCAATTAAAAGTCTGATACGATATTATTAATTTCCTTAATAAAAATCTCATTATTTTCGATCATCAATAGAGATAGCGGACACACCTTTTATAATTACTAATAAATCCAATTCAATCTCAAATAACAATTATATATCAACAAAAATATTCATCTTTATTAGATCGAAACAATAACAGACATCAAATTCTCAGTCTCATTTACCAGAAAATCAAACACACGAATTAACTGTCAATCAATAGGAATATTACCATCGAAACCAAACATATTTCACCAATTCGACGAGAGAGTCAACTTGTGGAAACGTTTGCTTTCCACGCCATTTGTCACGAGCTGCTCTCGGCGCTTATTTCGTATGCATAGAAAGAGGCTGGCGGCAATTAATGGGGGCAGAAATACGTGGGCAAATACCTTACTGGGTAGAACTGCGACAAACAATTAAACTCGCGAACTAAGAAGGCGATCTCGAAGGGATTTCAATTTAGCAATCGATCCCCTCGAGCAATCGAGGCCGAGTCGATAATTCGATTATCATTCGAGTCGAGATATCATTTCGCGTAATAATTTTATACGAATATCAAACGATCACGTTGTCTTGTGCATTGGCTACAATCAACTGTAATTCCGGCCAACGTTTCACGGAAAACCGCATATTTAATAACAGGCTTTGTTGCTTCAGACATGCCACGACCGTTCGTCAGGTGTCCCCGAGACATGGACGTGGAACTACCCGCAAGGCAGAACACGATACGCGTCTCCTTCCCTCAGCCCAAGTCCAACATGAACTGGTGGAGGTATTTATCAAAACGCTGTGTCGATGTTATTGCGATGATTAACGTTGTTTCTCCAGGTAACGTAAGTTGAATTTCGTAATTCGTTGATAGCGAGTTCGGCAAGCTGGTTTTAGGTTAGAAACTAGGTTAAGTTGCGATACATGTTGATGACGTAATACGTGAAAATGCAGTTACGTTGTTCAGGAAATGCTAGTTAGAGTTCATCACAGATTTTTCAAAGTTTTATAATCTAATATTTCGATAATAATATTTTTTTTTATATTAGGATAGACAATGAGAAAAGTAGTAGATACAATTTTATAATTTGCAATCAGACAATTTAGAATAATTTGCAATAATTATTTAGAGGAAAAAATAGAAGTTAATTAAATCAATCTCCAACTCAAACATTCGACAACTGACGTTAACATCGTTCCCACAACCTAACTCTTACGTACTTACTTATCTCGACTCCGTCGTTCCAGATTAATTAACACATTAAACATTCGAGGTATCGCTGCCATTCGTCGTAAAGTCTCGCACGACGGGACGAAATTAATTCTTTTCGCGAATCTCTCCGTTGCAATGTGTCACCACAATAGAATGGTTTATCTTATGTCGCAAGCCTTCCGCAGCGCACAATAGGAATTCCAAACGAGCTTAGGGGCTTCCTTCCAAGGCCGTATACACGTCTTTGCTCCGGTATTTGTATTCACATCTCTATTTATTCAGTCGAGCGTTGTAAACGCGGCACGATAGAGAAATCATCCGCGACGTGGCGCGTCAATCGTCCAGGGATAGTAAAGATGCAATATGGATTCGTATCTGTGCGTGCGTTGATCGGTCGTCGATCGATTTCGTGTTTCTTGGCAGATGGATCGTGATCTCGACAAATTTGTGCGTACGTGACAAGTGTGGATTCTACGATCAATGGATTAATGGACGACTTGATTGCGTTACAGGTACGTGGACGCTTCGCCATCATGGGCCAAGCAATTGCAAGCGGATTTACCAGCAGGTACGACGGTCGTCACTTTCACAGCATGGTCGCCTGTTTCGAATTATACCAGCACGTGCAGAATAGTGATCCGTGTTCGAGGTGAGTATTCGTAAATATAGCGTGATTGTTGATCGTAAATGTATCGATTTATCACGAAATTAGCGGATATACGTAGATATAGGCCTCGTTTGCGATTGTGTTTGTAAATGTGATAAATTGAAAATGCAAATTCTTCTATAGGAAACTGGGTTTTCGAATAAATCTAAATCGTTGAAAATTTATCTATAACACGTAGTAATGATTTTGTATGACATGTGTAATGACATGTATAGTTAATTGAGATTTAAAGTCATAAATTTTGATGATTAACACGAATCGAATAAATTTGATACAAAGAAGTGAACAATATTCACAAATTATCTTTCATTCATGTCATTCATTACAATTTTTCAAGATTGTAAAATTCTTCAATGTAAACGGTACATAATATAAATGTTATAACACGTGTATAACATATGTGTAACATAATTTGTGAATATTGTCCACTTTTTTTTAGTAGTTTTTAATAAAAAAATATTAATTAGAAAGAGTAAAATTAATTAGAAAGTAATTTAGAGCTATATCAAACGTGACTTGATAAAATTTCAATTTTCTTAAAAATTTTGAGAGATATAACAGATTATCTCTGGCAAAAACTTTCCATTCAATAGATATCTCTAATTATTGTTTGGTATTTCGTTGTTGAATTAATAATAATAGGAAAGTTTAAAATATACAATCTTATTTTCCTTCACAAAGAGCAAAAAAAAAAAAAAGAAGAAAAGAAACTAGCAAGAATCTTGAGGTAAAGTTTAAAAGTTTAATTATGAAAACTTTAATCCAAGTTCGAATTACGTTCGGAAATTACAAATGTTGAGGCAGAAACATTTTTACCAAGTTTTGTTATGGAAAAAAGATCTTAAATTATTCTTCCTACTTTCAAATTCGTTCGTGATATTTAATATCGATTTGAATCTTGCACGAGATTCTCGCGTAAATTTCTTAAAAAGCGATGCAAGTATCTATAAAACGTGCGAATTATAATAAGATGAATACGAACGTGGAAATATCGATATCGCATGTTCGATCGATGTGATAGAAAATTCGAGAATTGCCACTTACGAGAATAATTTAATGGCAAGCTGGCGGGAATTTCGCGATTTAAATCCTATTTCACGTATCAGTGGCCAGAGAATTAACAATGTCGTTTCGATTCGAATTTATGCAACTTTCGTGTCACGAGAGACTCGTGTTAGCCGTTGCGATCTTAATTCCATGGGATTAAGAGACACTTGCTTGTGCTAATGTATGCATTCCTATAAGTCATTATATCGCCAGTGTTCTAAACTGCGTAAAATTTTTAACGAATGCGAAATGTTACATAAGATGATACGTAACATTAAATTTCAAAGATTAATTATAATTTTTCCAACAACAATAATTATTAAGATAAAGATTGCCACAACAATTTTTCCTTCGCTTGGAAAAATTTCAAAGCAACCAATTTTCAATTGAAAAATCGATTTCGAGTTAGTTAGTGACCAATTCGTTTCACGAAACGTAGTCACATTAAATTCATCGTAACGTCATTGTTTCATTGGTTTCCGTGAGTGCGCAATAGCACTCGATGGAAAAGCGTTCTCCAGAGGACTGCGACGGTTTCCGGTAGCAACGTCACATAAATACATGTAGCCCGCGTTACCTGCAGCTCTATTTCTCCCGTTTCTTTCCCACTGAGGTCATCGAGGTATCGATAAAAAAGAAAAAGGGTTTTTCACACCATGAAAACATTCACCGCTTCCATTGTTCCTCTCTATTTTTTATCGACTTTATCTATTTTTATTTTTGTCATCCTTTTTGTTTTTTATAATAATAATAGTAGGTATCATAGAGTGTTATCGAAAAAATTGTAAAAATTTCTATTTTGAATTGTTGAACAACGAAAACAAAAATAGTTAAAGTGCATATCTATTAATTTTTTCTATATATTTTAAAATTGATATATATACATATATAATAAATAATTGAAGAATTTAAATTAAAGGAATAACTTGAAAAATGCATTTATCAATTGCTTAATTTTGTCATGTTAAATATAAAGAAAAATAAAGATTTTTTTTCATTTTGTAAATATATTACACGCGTGCGAACGAGAAATTGATTGGTGAAAAAAGAAAATGAAATATAACTTATTTTTGATATTGAAAATACCATTTAATAACAAGCTAGAGATTGAATTCTTGCGTGTAATTGTTAATAATTTGAATGGCAGTAATGAGCTTGAAGAAAAATTATTTGGAAATGGAAATCAATAATAAAACCATGTTACAATAAAAAAAAAAAAAAGAAAAAGATCAAAAATGCTGAAAGAAAAATGGTCAAAGAAAAATTGATGAAATGCAAAAATTCAGATCCTTTGAGTTGAAAAACCGTAAAACTTTATGCATAGTATAGTTTTTATGCTAGCTCAGAAAAGCACGTTTCCATTTTATGGTAATTTAGGATACAACAAACTTACATTGTGGGATATCCATTTCTCATTTTTCATTTTCTAATATTTCTCTCTTAATTATTCACATTAATTTTATAAATTCTTGCTCAAATTATAAAGTGTGTGTTGTAGTAAAATGTAATGTGAAACTTTTTTTTAAAAACAATATCATTTATACGTATAGATTATTGTTATCCATATATATTCAATTGAAAAATATATCTCGTGAAATTTTGATAAAAATTTCGAGACATTCAGCGGCGAAGAGTCATCGTTATAATAACAACAAATTCGAATAGATAATAATTTCCAAAACCAACACATTTCTAATATCTTCCATATTTCACATGTTCAAACATCAAATATTACAGAATTCCTTCATTGCGTGATACAATCCATCCACCACAAATACATGTAATACCCAGTGGATACAAAACATTATTACACGGAGAGCACAATTTCGATCAAAATGCGCAAAACGATTTTATCGATCAAGATAATCATTGAACTAGCAGGATATTAAAAAAAAGAAGAGAGAGAGAATACCGTACAACAAAAGTCAACTTGCAAACCGAGAATCGATAGAGTTTTCGATGGATGTAATCACGTTTCATAGGCCAGTCGGTACTATATCGCGTAACGCAGAGAAATAAATGGCTGTGGCCGCCGACAGTTCGAATAGAAACGTTATTTTGCGGTATTATTTGATCTCGGGTGTTGTATGATTTACGTTTGCTTAACCAGCGAATAGTGGTTAAGCCTTAGCCTAAAGCAAGGTTCGCGCAAAGAAAGAAATCAAAAACGGTCGATCACATATCATCCCGTGAACAGACTTTCTCACGTGGTCCCTTTGTTTCTTGGATTTTTTTGTAACCCGGTATGCCGAGGTGCACCAAACGTGTCCCATAATTCTTCATCCTGATCGTTCAATATAACGTCTCTATTATTAATGTCAGGCCTCTAACTGTGCCCTACCTCTCACGAGGCTTATCTTGTGCGTCCATTTTATCAGATTTATGTACGTTTACGTGATATTACGTTTTCTATGGGATTTTTTTTTTTGTTCAGTCTGTTCTCCTTTTTTTTTTTTATTTTCTCGATAGAGTGGAATTAATTGTATTTGGATTCTTTGTATTTTCGATACCGAGTGGATTTTTATTTGGAATTTAGATCGAGTTGTATTATTTTCAATTTTTTATTTTAAAAATTGAAAGACAAATAACGCGTCTTTAAACACACTTGATGCTTGAGCCAATAAAAGTCGAGTTTTAATACAAATTACAGGAGAAACGATATTGCTTAAAACAATTTATATTAATAATAATAATATTAAAGATTTCAAATTATTATGACAAAATCTTAATTTAAAGTAAAATTAGATTTTTATTTAATTGACTGATTCGAGTTTAATGTAAATTAATCAAAATTTTTAATTTTATAATTTTTGGACAATCGAAATACTTGTATTTGTGTAAAATGCAATATCAATAATTAATTTACAAATAATTAAAAATTTTAATAACTGATCAATTACTAATTGAATTTAAAAAATATATAATCTGGCGAATTATAAATAAAAATTATACGCGAATATTATCGTGACGAGGATTAAATTCCAAGGTAATCTGCCAAATGAAAATAAAAATAATTTTTACAAGTTGGATTTTTTACGGGGTTAAATTTTCATCTTTTTTCATCATAGAGAATTTTTTCCTCGCTGAAAGATAATTGAACAAAAGAGAATCCAAATCCAAGAGCAATCGTTTCATATTTTTCCCGTGCACACTTCAATTCGTCGGTCGTGAATTACACGAGAGAGCCCGGTGAAACCGCAAAAATCGACATTGCCATTGTAAGAGCTGGCCTTTCTGCTTCATTTCTTCATGATATTCGAATCGGCGATGATGGCGGAATCTTTGCCCGCCCTGTCACCGGCAAACTTCCGTTTCATCGTTCCTGATTGCTGTTCCTGAAAGGAACCGACTTCTCCCTTGGGACGAATTACACGGAAAACAATTTGAAGAATAACGCGCTTAAAGGAATCGATTCGAAGATGGAAAGCCTGCAATTACATGCACGCTTAGCTCTTGAGAACTAAGCAATTGTTGATCGAAGTTTTCTGAATCAATAACAAGTTTTTCAATATATAAATATACCGATTGATTCTTTGAAAATCGAATTATTATTACTAAGAGTATGCGAATCTTCAATGATAATCACACAACTTTTCTATTATTATTTTCTTTTCAAAATAGAATCTTTTTAAATTAAGATTCCATTAATATTCGAAATGTTCGCCAGAGAAGTAAAGGTAAACTTTAAGAATCGGAATTTGCATAATACCAATGTTGAAAGTTGTAAAGTTGGGTAGTTACAGCCGAACAACAGCACACGAAACACAAACACGCTGAATTAACGTAGTAAAAATTGAAACCTCTCTCCTTCGCTTCCCTCGAACACCGGCGAGGAAAAACTCATCCCCTTATCAGACAGAACGAAACTTTCAAATTCGTACAATTAATTCTCTCCACCACTCTCTCCCACTTCCTCCTCTATAATACACAAGTGCACGCATAACGTTCCCCCAACCCGCCGAGAAGTCGAAGTTGCACGAAACTACGAGCCGCCGATTAAGGATGGAGGGAGGGAAGGTTTGTTCGCGAAGAAACGCGCACCAATTCACCGATGGATGGTCCGCCGATCGAAGGGCATTAACGAAGAAACCGGACAAAGCCGCGATCCAATCTGGGAAAGGGGGAGGGGGGCAGCGAGAAGAGGGGAATGGAACGAGTTGGAGGAGGAAAAACGGGGGAAGAAAAAGTGGAGGAGGGTGGAATGGACGATCGATTTCCTGATAAAGGGGAAACTTTTTCAAAAGGTTGGAACGAAATCGGCCTCGATCCCAGGCATCGATACCGATGGTGGGAAGTTCGGTCTGGTAGCGAGTGCACTTGTAGGGAGTCTCGCTTAATTACTCATTCCTAAAGTTCGCGAAACTCCGTTGGAGAGCGAGTGGAGGACAGAGAGGGATGACGAGGGATGGCGGCGGTCAGATGGATTCTGTTCGATATGCGAAATAGGTGTTGGGTATCGTTGGGTAAAGCAGTGATTGTTAATCGCTTGATCCTTCGCGATTTCATTATGTCCTTTCGGTTAATTACGATTAAAGAGGCGTTAAGAACCGGTGAGAATGAAAAGTGTTTAATATGGAAAGAGGTACGATATTGTTGCGAATTTGGGAGGATAATTTATTTAACTTTTAATCGGGATTCAGAAAATATGATGGTACTCGAGAAATTAAAATTATGGTAGTTTATAATAAATTTCTAGAATGAGTAGTAAATGGAAGAGAGGGATAGAAGAATATTTCAAAATTAAAAGAGGGATAAAGAATGATAAATTGAAATAGAAGAATTGGTAGAAAATCGATTGTGCAAAATAATTATTATTATTTATTGGAATATATTTTATAACGCGTGATTTATCAATGTTTTGCGTAATATATAATTGAACGTATCGGTAATTTATTATATCCAGTTTTGGTAATTAGCTTAATAAACACAGAGTTGAGTTATTATTGTTATTTTCAACTTTACACATAAGAGAATTATACATTAATTTAATAAAATATAACGGTAGAAATATGATGTTGATTAACTGTAATGCGTAAGAAATGAAATACATCGAGTGCATTTAAAACTTGATGAATATCTTTTGATATTGATTTGATCGAACACACGCATAACAACGAGTAAATAATCAAGTAATCATCTTTTCAAACATCATCTTTTAATAGCATTTTAAGCGAAAATCTTTTTCGAGATAAAATTTTCGTGAAAAAAGGGAAAAAGGGATGGTTATAACGGTTAATGAAAAAGAAAAGGAAAAGGAAAGATCGAACGGCAAAGTGTAAAAGAAAGATTAAGAATTTTTTATGAAAATTAAGCTCTTTCAAAAATTCAAGAAAATGTTTTAATTATCTCCCTACGTTAACGTAGAAATTACTACACTTATTGCAATGAAATGGAGAATTATGATATTTTGTTTAAATGATCTTTTTTATCCATGCACAACAATCTTGATTATTTAAATCGTAATTTTAAGTTCTAAAGATGAAACTTTAGAAAATCCTCCGTTTCTGAAATTCTCCTCGATATTTCAATTCGCAATAACAACTTTACTCTACTTTAATATCTAAAATCTAAAAAATTTATTTACTATACCAACAACTCGATCTCTGTGTTCAACATAAGCTTGCAACCCCTGAAACTGACCTAAAAATTTGTTTACCATACCGACGAATGATTATATTACCATTCACAGATACCGAGAATCCAAAAGTTTCGACTTGCCCGACATCCTTTGAAGTGCGGCTAAGCCCTGGCGAGCGGAATCGCTTAATATTCTGGCAGGAGCCAACGTTCACCGACAATGTCGGCGTCGAACGGGTCTACAAAACGAGGGTGAGCAAACGACATCGAATTCGGCCGAATAATCCCAACCCTTCCTCCGCCCTCGAAAATTTCGCGTTGTTTGATCTCGAGAAGATGACGACCCTTCCCCTCCTTTTATTTCTTCCTTTATTTCCCCTCCCTTCGCACGATCCTCCAAGGAGATAAGAATCTTCACCCCATTTCTCTTCCCTTCCCCCGCTTTTTCTCTCGGATTTATTAAAACTTTCTCCCTTAACGATCAAACTCACCAATCTTGCGGTTATCTATCCGATCCAGTAATTTTCTTCTATCATTAAACTCTTTGCAGCTTGAAGGTTTTTTTCTCGCTCCACGAATTAACAATTCAAAGTTAGAGGGAGGAATGAAGATAGGTTTTGCAATTAATACAGTGGAGATTAATTTTATGTATTGTGCTGGGAATATTGCTAATTTTTTAATCTCGTTGTAACTTTCATTGCAGCGTAAACGGTGAGATTTTTTTTTTTTTTCAGGATTTAGAATTTTAGATACGTAAAAGAGAATATATATTTTGAGAATTGTAGATTAATTGATGAAATTACATGAAAATTATTCTGGTTAGATATCTATATTATATTTCAATAAAAATTTTGTTTGATGTAATAATATATAGTTTAATCTATAAAAAGTAATCTCTTTAAGAACCTTTGCTCGTTTCTAATTATTTTCATTAAATAGATTAATATACCTTTTCATACGCATAACGTACGTAACGTTTGTAAATTGCTCCTCGTATAAATTTCGCTGCAAATCAATCACGTTGCACAATCTTTTCTACGATTTTACTTTTTAATGTAAAAAAGATGTAAGATCATCGTTCAAGTGCAAATTGTTAATTGCCTTAATTAAGAGTTTAAAACGGAGAAAGATCAACGTTATTCAACTTTCGTTTCCTTGCTTCTTTACTTTTTTTCTTTATTTACTCGTCAACCAGTTTATCCTCGTTCCGTTCGATATTTACTTTCCGTTTCCGTATTCCGTGGTGCGCGTGGTTGGGAAAGTTTGAGGTCGATGGCAATTAGTGACGGTTTGGAGCACGTGTCAAGCAGGGGAACGACACCGCGATCGTTGGGTTTATAACGCGATAACGTGCTCGCGAATTGGTCGGACGTGCGATAATTGGCGAGCTTCCTCCTACGCGGTTAATAAACGCAACGTTCCGCGGACAAATTGGCAAGTTAAGTCGATTAAAGCTAGCTGCCTCCAAAGGGGGTGAAAGGTGAGAGATTGAAAAAAATTGGAGGATATATGTCCGGGGGAAAGGAAAAAGATGGAAAGGATAATGGATACAAGTGAATCTTATTTTTTTCGTTTATTTATATTCGTTTTTGAACGAAGGATATGAATGATCGGTTAAATTAAATCGGTTAATTTATATTGGATAAAGATTTTCTTGTGTTCAAAGTGTTCGAAAAATCGATGACGATTGAATTGTTGGAATTGAACTTTTTGGCCTGGAATTTGGACCGTAACGAGGAGAATTGATTAATCCGTTAATTAATCGATGTCCGTCAGAACGTATTGAAAAAGTAGCTCGATATTAATCATACCATAGTTACATAATTTCTTGCCATCAATTTGCTCTCATTGCAATCTTTAAATTAAAATTACAATTATCCTTCGATAAAATTAAATACAAATTGGAGATTATTTTTCTATCATATCCGTTCGTTAAATTTTATCGAAAGAAAAATTCGATCAGATCACATTTTCTAATTCTTACATTCTAACCTAAGATATTTCACGTTTTCCAATTTCCCCCTCGAAAATACACGATCCTAACTGCGCGATCCTTTCAACGAACTCTAGAGATTCATCCATCATGAACGAAAATCGATCGAAACGAAACAATAAAAAGAAGAAGAAGAAGAAGAAGAAGAAGAACCGAGCAGAGATTACAAATTAATAATCGTTGAAAGAAAAAGAATCGTCCAAGAATTCTTCGTTCGAGAATTTCACGAAGGAAGAGCTCGAATCTGGAGAAGTTTATCGAACGATAAACGGAAGTTCGGTTCGCCTCTTTAGATAATAATTCGAGAGACAGGCCACGACTATACGTATTTCGATCCCATCGAAAGTTAACTCGCGTATATTCCCATCCCCAGGAACCCGGACAACTGATGTACCCCGGCATTCACAACGTGCGCTACATCGCTTCCGACGCAGCCGGAAATCGAGCCGAATGCCATTTCTCGATACACGTACGAGGTAAATTTATGTAATGCGCCACGTTCGGCCGGCCAATCGATGATATCGAGCTACCAGCTAGAATATTTTCGCTGGTAAATTGTTGGGCGGGCGCGCGATGATTGCCTGTTATATCGCCACCGTTGCTGCAACGAAGGATCCTCTGGTTTACAGTTTGTTAGAAAGGATGCGATGTATTTGTGATGCGCGTGTATTGTTTGCATTTGTACGGTGTTGCGGGCAAGCTGTGTTGGAAAATAAATGTAACTTTCACTTCGAGTGTGGCCAATATAGATTCGATCGATGGTTAAGGAGAGCTTTTGCGTTGGTACAGAAAAGTAAATTAGAAAATTCGGATTTTAAAATGATAATAAAGTATACGTGAAGATAGGAGACGGTCAAATTTTTTGTTGTTCGAATCTGTCGTTTGAAGTTGTCTTTGTTAAAAATTCAGGTGTTGATTCATATATATATATATATATACAGTGGAACGTAAAATTTTAGAAATGCGCAGAGGCTGTTCGATAAAATGTCAGAATATTATTTGCTTTGTCTTTAAATATATACACGAGTGTATAAGCACGAATCCTACAGGTAGTTTTAAAATTCGAAATTCAATTATACGGAATGCGTATATATAAATGCAGAAAATGAAACATTAGTTTTTACTGGACACGAATCATATTATTAAAGTGAAACTTTTGAAATTGACTTGGATTTGTGATGTATTTGTCGAAATTGATCCCGATTCTGTAAATAAAGAGGAATGATTGTTCGTTTTTATTTGGAGCATCGTTTTATTTTATGTAAAATAAAAATCGATGGTAATCAACAATTGGAAGTTTAATCAGTTATTTTCAACTGGTGTATGGAAGAATCGTTGTTATTTATATTTATTATTACAAGTGAATACGAATCTAAAATAATATCAATGCACGTTCAAAATAATAATCAGCCGGTATAAATCTCAATTAAAAAAAAATTTAATATAACGAAATAATAATTATTAAAGACGAGAAAATTATCCGATTATCCTTTTTGGCCAAAAGTTCTCTTTTCACACGATCGATAATATCTCCCACGATGCCACGATCTTTTAATCGACTCGAGCTAATTACATCGGCTTAATGGATTCAATGAAGATGATTCTCTTCCATAAAATTTCCAACCGCCTAATCGACGAATCGTCACGATAAGGGAAAGAATTATGCCCTTCGTCGGGGCTCGATGGAATTTCGTCCCTCGATAACATCGATTGGCCGTGATAGAAAACGATTAATCCAACTTATCTGGTGTCTTCGTACATTTTCAGAATCCGAGCATCGTCGAGATTCCGAGGTGAGTTAAAAAAAAGAAAAAGAAAAAAGGAATCTTTTCGTACAATCGGAATTGCTTTCTGATACGATGAAATCCTGGCCAGACTTCCTCTTCCTTCCTTCCTTCCTTCCTCTTTCATCGAGAAACATAACTTTATTCTGTTCATTCCATTGCCATCTCCCAAGCATGAATGCTGAAAGCTTCTCATCTGCATCCCATTGCTTGCTTTCCTATAAAATTCTTTAAATTACTAATATTCTTTTTTCTATTCCTGATTTAAATTAATCTTTAAATTAATTTTTGGAGAGGGAGAATTATTTGGAAGATTTATTTATCGATCGTTGAAAAATAACATTTTTACTTGCTTCTATCAATTTTGTGAAAAATGTTGAATTATTATAATTACTGTGATGACATAGTTTTAAATATTCAACAAGCAAAACATTTTATTCTGTCGAATACGAAAATTAATTCTAGGAAAAAAGATACGAGATTCTTCAAGATAAATTACGTTACGTGTATTTACCTTTCAGATTTTTATTTCAAGCGCAAAGAACCAAAAAAGATCTACCAAATCGCACGTGTCACAGTAGATCCAAGCTTATAATCCACTCTTCGTCTTGTTATATTTATTCTCGGATTTTTCCTTTTTCATTCATTCATATGAAATCAGTTTCGAAATTATTAATATCCCATGTAACAACGATTTATATTTCAGTTTATATTTCATGGGATAACGAGACATCAGATTTTAAACGTGCGCGTCTTTTCTTTTTCCGCTTCTTGGCAAAAATTGCAAACTTATTCGAGCGAAAATGAGGTTGATACGCGAATCTTCGCGGAGGGAGCACGTAAATTCGTTGGCGTTGCATAATTCGACGGTGACGAATACGGATGGGTCTCGACGGAAATCCGGCATCTATCGCGCAACTTCTGTGTCTTTTCCCTTCCGGTGGATGGAAAAATACCGAGATATCGTTGTTGTTGGGGGATGTTGTTCGCAAGTATTTCCACCCGAGAAAATTTCAAAGCGCTTCCTACGTTTATTTTAGTTTATCGCGTGATTTACGGGTGGGGATTTTCTGGCCAAGTTGACAGACAAGTTTATAGCCTAGCCTCGTGTTTTCTCATGATGGCAAGCGATGGCTTCTTGTAATGAAAATAGCTGTAAACGCGAGGGATATTCGGCGATTGAAAATCGTGAATAATTTTTTTCATTGTTTCTTTTTCTTTTTTTTTTTTTTATTTCTTTATGAGTCTGTTATACTTTCTGTAAGTGTAACTTGTTCGTTTAATCAAGATTTTAAGACGTTAAGAAAAGCGTAAATTGGATTGTCTATTATTTTACGTTATCGGTGAATTCAGGAAGCGTTTTCGAAGGAAAAAAAGAAATGAAAATTTCAATTTTTACTGTACGCGATTTGGATTTTATTCGAGTAAGTTTTGTTAAAACGAGCCAATTATCGTAGAGGATTGAAAGTAGGGAGTGTTAGAGAAGAATTTTTCACTTTCTGAAATTAATACTTGTATCTTCTCCCTCCGTCAACCAAAGAATAAGAATAATTATTTCAGCGAATAAAACGTATTTTCTCTGCTTTTCGTAGTTTCTTTCTCAGCCGCAAACGACGACGAAACTTTCTCGGTTGCTTAATAGTACAACTCGCATTAAAATGAATTAAATTCTTAGAAGCTGGATAAAGTCTTGAATTGAAATCTTTTGGCATGGTATACAATACGATGCCAAAGAAATATTTATCCTCGCAAGATAGCTGCATCGTAATTCACAGCACAGTGTTAAAGCGTAACATTTAATTTTTAATTCTTAAAAATAAATAAGACGTAATTTAAAACGTGTTAAAAATTATTAATCGCATTTGAAAAATTCTATTATCAAGTAGAAAACACTAGGTTAAACGAATAATTCATCAAACTCTTCGTTGAATTAACGAAACGTTTCGAACATTTTCCTTTTTTATTTTTTCCGCTTTTTAACTTTATCAAACAATCTTAAAATTTCTATTATAAATTATGAATAATTAAATCTTCTTTATATAAAACGTTGATTATTATTGAAAGATTCCCTCTATTGCTCCCCTTTCTTTTTAATATTCTAGCTCGCGTTGATTCGAGCAGGCAAAATTTTTATCTTAATTAAATTCCAAGAAGAACGTGCAACGTTCCTCCCTCCCCGCAAAATAATTATTTGAAGGATCTCTTCTATGTTTCCTTTCCTCCTCCTTCCTTCTCGCTTCATCTTCCGGCGAAATTCAATTTCTTTCCTCGTCTAATATATACCTCGCACGTAGAATGGCGAAGAGAAAATTGATTTAATCGGTGGACAAGGGATCGTTTTATTAATGCGACAACATCCTCGTTAATTAGAAATCAATTAACCCACCTGTCGATTATTCGAATACCTATTAATTAAACTCTCGATCATTTGCATGCATAATAACCGTGCCATTATTGCCATGATTATCGTCGTATCATCGAATTGATAAATCATATTGATCCTTTCGCCATTGGAAGATGTTAATTAACGTAGAGATTGACCAATCGTCTTCTTCGTTCTGTAATCTCTTTTCCTCTTCGCTTTCTCTTTCTATTCTTCTTTTTCTCAATTCGCTCCTCTCTTAATTAAACGAGCCTTGATACGTTAATTTAAAATACATATAAATACACTTATCACGATAAAAGTTAAGAAACAAATCGATCGATTTGCAAGTCAATCAATTTTTTATACATTCCCCCAAGATCGATAAATTGGTGAACCAAGAATGTGTTGGAATTGAAAGGAAATTTGCAAAAGATTAATTTGCATTGTTGATCGTTTTAAATTAACATTGCAGCTAATAATCACTTGGTAATCATGTTTCAATAACATTCAGAGCTGGGTATTATATTATATTTAGATCGAGATTTAGATCTAAATTAATCCGTTTGACTAACGTATTTAAATTACTAATTACTAATTTCTAATTTACCACCAACTACTGTAATCAACGTTGAGATTATTATTGAGGGATTACAAGGGAAGGATAATTATCAAAGTCGTTTGATCTATCATTCACAAACTCTATTAAAGATCTGTACGTATACGTATTTTATCATAATGATTGAATTATCTTATAGTATCATTATAACACACGTCTACACTGAATCTCAGAATAACTAGCTGCCCTCAAAGATTGTATCACCACACAGTAACAATAATAATTACACGCGTATAATAAACCTACATTTCAGACAACTTCCACCATCAATCGCCACGTATTATATCAAACCATCATCGTTGCTCAACCATCATCATCACACCATTAATCGTCTAATTTACTATTCTCTCCTACCATAATTATTCTCAAATCATTCTCTCCTAAATCAAAACAATACTCCAAATCTAAAATACTTACCTCGATAATTTTATGCTTTGCAATTATATGTATGCAAATATTTATATCTATACCGAAACAAGAATGAAAAATTTTCGTCCGATGGATATTAATCTTAACCCTTTCGCTGCTATAACGAGAGTATCTTTTTCTGAAATGTAGCATCAATATTTTGTTTCTGTCGCCCATTTTTTTTTTTTTTTTTTTTCAATAAACACCGTCAAAGCAACTCGAATCGGTCGCTGACCATCTTTCTCGAGCACTGTGAAATCGCCCGTAGCGAAGGGGTTAAGATGAAAAAAACGTAAAGTGGCCGATCCAAGCCTGCCATTGTTCACACTTGTTGTCGCCGTTTAGCCGCGATACTACAGAAGAAGGATGTTGATGTGTCCCGGAAGATCACCCCAGCCGATACCGTCCAACGCTTACGGGGTGAGTTTACGCGGTTTGTTTGGCGGAACAATTTTCGTGGGGGGATGAAAAGGGGAGGAGCACGCGTCCTAATTCGATTTTCAGTGGCAGATACCGAGCGGATGTTACCTCAGATACACGAGGATCTTCTCCGGGGCGTATGCTGTTCAGAACTATCGAGGGCAGAACGGTTATCAGGAGGCGAGGGCGGCTTATCATCAAGTTCATCCTGTTCACGGGGGCCAAGGTCAAACTCAACTACACTCCACATCCTATCCTCTTGGAGGCTGTAAGTTTCTCTCCGCTTTTTCCCATATTTCTCTTTATAGCTCTTCGTAGTTGCTTTCCTCGCTGTGAATTTTCTGATTGCTGCATGCACGTGGTTCTTGGGTGTGTGAGTTTGTCTTTCCTTTTTTCTTGAAATTATTATAGTTATGGAAATGATGTATATTTATGTGTATATATATATATATTTTTTTTAATTAGATGGATATAATTTAAGGAGTAAGTATTTATTTTCGTTAACAGGTTGGAACGTTTAATATATGTTTTTTGTAATATGAAACACTTTGTCTTTATCTCGTGTGATTATTTTAATTATTATTGTTTTTTTGCACCGATCGTTGAAAAATTTGAAACTGAAACTAAAATTATTTACGTATAATTTTTACGTAAATAACGCTTGGAATTTTCATTTTATTTAACTTCCGAAATGTATCGTTGAATGTGTTAAAAATTAAATCCAATCCACGAAAATTTCGCAGGAAATAAATACTCGTTTCATTCGATCAAACGAATCAATATTAATAATTTCGTATTATTCTATTTTATCAATTGATTTATTTTGCAGAGTATAAAACGTTGCAACAAAATTACCAATTTGAAATTTGTTTTAATTTTTACGTATTGTATTTTCATTATGATCAGTCGAAAGAAAAAAATGGAAATTAAACTAAAAATAGTTCAGACTTCTTCGATTTTGTTGTCGTGGAAATATTTCCAGCATAGTTGCTGAAACAAAGTGGTGTGCACGCAACGGCGCTATTTGCGGTTGTTCCATGCACGATAGTGGAAAAATTAGTATCATTTGCGGCTCGTACGACAAAGTGCTAACTTTTGTGATCTTGCATAGAAGATATATGACGTTTCTTTTTCTTTTTTGAAAGAAAGGCAAAAATGATGATAAAATAAACGTTTTTTAATTAACGCACAAGAATTAAATTTGTTTTATTAATAATGTTTGATTAGTACCAATATAAAATCCAAGAGGAAAAGTAAAAAAAGAAATAGAATATTCAAGTTTTTCTGATTAAATTTTCTTAAAATTTTCCAATCTCTGTGAGACTGTATTAATATGATGCTTGTTTCAACTGCGTCGAATTTGTTACGTATTTGTCCAATTAAAAATATACAAAGCTTCGAAGCTATTTTTCAAATTCAAAGGATCAAAATTAAACGCGAGAAGCGGAATTCCTCGTCTAATTCGGAAGAGAAGAATCATGCAAGATGCGATCTCACGAGCGAGAAACAGAAAATTCGCAAAAGACGTTTTCAAAGCGTTTAATTTTGCAAGTGACCTTTCACCTTTTAACTTTTCCTCTTATAATTGCCCGCTCCTTACGACTTGGCAAACTCTCGTACCGTATACCTGTTGCTATCTTCGAAATCTTCGTACGCGATATGATCGCCAAATTAAATAAATTATTTTGATAAAATAAATTTTCGCGATCCTTGCGACGGATCTTGACCTTTTTAATTGCGAACGCGTCCCAAGGGAAACACAGGTCGCAAAGTAACGGCCCCATTGGAATTTCAAATGAAGCATAGCACGTTGTATCGCGCCAACAGTCGGTTTCGATATTATTTTTTCTTTTAATCCAAATATTTCGCTCCTTAATGAACACCACGTCAACATTCTTCCTCTCTTCCCTAACTTTTCCATCTTCCCTCATTATCACACGTTTTTCGGCTCTGATTTCATCGTCGGTTTAAAGCGACTCGAGAATAAATTATCCTCCTCCTCCTCGTTTCTTTTTTTTTTTCTTTTTTTATAGAATTTTCTTCCATCCCTTTCGATATCAGCCCCACCACCATCTTGGCCCAGTTCGAGACTGAAAAATGCAGATTGTTGAAGAGTGCTCCTGGGACAAGCTCGTCTTTCCACGAGAAGCAAAGATGCGTTTCTTTCCACGGGGCTTCCCCTTTCGATCCATCCATCTCCGATATCCTCCCCCACTTTCCATCACGACTCCTCACTTTCCCGATTTCGATGGCCCTCCGCAATTTTAACGCGTCATTTTTTTCGTGATGTAATTTTGCGAGCAACGAAATTTCGTTCGTTTTAACATTCGACGAAGGAGTAATTAAAATAATTAGAAAATAAAAATTGTTGAGGTAACGTTGGAAATAATCAGGGAAGTGATTTCGAATTCGAGTTCTCTTCCGTAATGCAATTAGTGAAAATATGAAAATTTATTTTTGTTTGATATTTTGATCATAATTTTGTATAAAGATACGAGAAGGGATTGAAGAACAATTATTAGAGATTGGAACGATTCGAATTACAAATTGAATTTATTATTGGTATAATCGAAATAGATGAACTTTTTCTAGATATGCGAGATATAAGCAATCCTAATTAACGTTAAAATATTAATTTATCTTCGTTTACATTTCCTGTAAATTAATATCGTGATTTTCACGTCGAATATAAAAATTTCTGACCGAAATATTTATTTCGAAATAACGAAAAGAGGAAGCTATTCGCGCGTAAAAAGCAGGAAACCGCGAGGCAATTTTCAATTAAAAATTGATTTACGGCACATTTCTATTTTTCAGATTACTTTAACTTATTTCATGGTCTTGATTTTTACTTGCGGCACAATTTCTGGAAAAATGTTTCCCGCCCAGCTGCAGACAACCCGTTCTTTTATTTAGTATCACGGTACTCTCAAGCGGAATTAAAAAATAATTCTCCCTCGCGAGATCCCTTCTGTTCGAGGTACAACCCATTCCTTTTTCCCCCTTTTGCTCGTCTCCTTGACTTTCTTTTATCCTTCTGTCTTCGACTACGCTTTTTTCACCGTTATTTTCCCTTCCCTTGCTTCCGAACAATCGTTCGCCAAGTTTAGACAACGAGTTAGAAGTTTTCCAATTTTAATTTCGCTTAATCGATCTCGTCCGTTTTAACAGAGATTATTATGAAATTAGAATTCTTTTTTTTTTCTTCTTCTTCTTCTTCTTCCTTTTTGTTATGTTGAATAAAAGATTTTTTTTTGCAGTGGACGGAAATACGGAATTACGTTTTTCTCGTGGACGAAATGAATCGTGATTTTGATGACGAGCATCGATTTATTTGACTTCTTTTTAATATTTTATGTGCCAGACTTTTAAATAGACGTGAAATATTCCTCATCAATAATGCATTTATAGTAAGCTTAAATATGCAAAAATATACAGAATGCATAAAATATGCAAAATTATACTAAATAAATTCATATATAATATTTGGAGAATGAAATGAATTCTTGTCACGTTCCATTTCTTCATTTATGTTCGTAAAAATGTGAATAAACATTATTAATCTACTGATCTCGGAATCGAAAGTAGATAATAATAAACAGTGTAATCAAAATATCTATTATTTTATTACATTAAATTCATATTTTAAGAAATTCCTTCTTCGAGAATTCGATAATATAATCTAACCTTTGCAAAATTTTGTACATTTTGTGAATTCTAATTTATTACTCGTTAAACTTTTCCTAGCAGACCTGATTTAGCTATCCTAAAACTATCTTAAATCTCAAATTCCAAATAATAAGCCTCAAATCCCTCTTTAAACTTGAAAATAAAATTGACCAATCTATTTATAATATATTAATATTCCATTAACTTTCATACACGAAACATTGCATACAACGATCCATCATCCATACTACTCTACCATCCCAATCGCCAAATAATTATCAGAAGCAAAAAACACAAACCAATAAATCCTACTATTATAAATTCTCCTTCCATTTACATACACAATCGACTCCATACGTTCTCTCCGTCATTCCGCCATAATAACTGCAAAACAAACAATATTATAATTACAAAAATGACAACCTTAAATTATGCACAATTTCGCTCTCAGCCACTCAGATCGAAGCCTTTATTAAAAAAAAAGGAAAGAAAATCAACCGCGATACACTCGACATTTTCCATCCGTGTCAACCGGATATCCGGTATCCCATAATTTTTCACGGCGTGGCCGCGTCTACTTCGCCTCGAAGCGACAGATTACGTCGCGTTTCTCGTTACTGTCGCCCCGAAGGCGTGTTTTTCAGCCCGTGTCGTATGAATATACAATCAGACACGATCGACCTCGCGCCGTTCCCATCCACCTCCAGCAGAGATTAAATTTCGTGAAAAAGCACGCGTGCGAAAATCTACGTCTTATTTGACCTCCTCCCCTCCGCCGATGCAGCTTCCGTTCCACGCCACTGGGGGTCTCTGGTGGTCGTGATTCGAATTAACGTGGCGCCTTGAAGAGGGCGTTAAATTGAATACTCGTTGGAGGTTTCATTTTCGAAATTATCCGTGGGGAGAAAACGATATTTGAATTATTTTATGGCGATTGATAAGATTTTTCATGAAATTTTCCAAAAAAAGAAAATATGAAAAATAATAGTGCCTCTACGCAAGAGATTAAGAAGGGGATGCTCGTATCCTTTGTTTATTTATTTTTTTTCTTCTTTTGAAATTTCATTTCTGCAAAATTTCGTGATATACTTTATCAGAATTTCGTTACAGGATCCTTCAAAATTCCATTTCAGTTACCTTCAAAATTTCGTCTCCTCGATCCCATTCTATATTCATCCCTGTGTGTTTCTAGAAAACACTTCGATATTCTATATTTTTATGGATTTTTGAAATTAATCTAATATCATTCATGTTATTCAAATAAATTATTTTATTTTAAATAATCGTTATATATTTTTAAAGATATAATTAAATAACAATTAATCATAAATCATATTTGTTTATATACATATAAACAATTAATAAATTGAACAGTATAAAGATTATTGTAATAGATTAAAAATTAACACAAATGATAATAAATATAACAATTTAACGAATATTGATATTGGATATTGATAAAAAAAATTAAAAAGAATCGTTTAGACCAGATCCAAAGATTTTTCTAATACATCATGCTTACAATTTCATCTAATTATTCTTAAATCATTTATGTTAAATCTTACTCGATAAATTTTAATTTTTTAACACGCGATGCAA